CTGCTCTCGGTTTTTTAAATGGTTGATCCCCCTCTCTGACTCTGGTTTTTTTTTTTTGCTCTCGTGCCTCCCCTATTGCTGAACCGAGCCCCCCGTTGTCATCCCCCTCTCCTTTTATTTCGTTTTTTTTTTGTTCCTTCTCCTTCATCCCCCTCCCCTCTTCTGTCCTTTTTTCTGGTGATATATGGTTGCCGTTTTCCCTCTGTCTCGTGTTTTGTCTCTTGTCATGTGTGTATGCAGGTCACGGGAACGAGCAAGTCACAGGCGGCAGCAGTGGGGAGCCGAGCCTTGGTGTTCCTCGGTTGTGGTGCTGGCAGCAGCTTCACGTGGGAGCTGTTGGGTTGTGGTGCTCGATCAGAGTGTTGTCTCAGTGCTCGGGAGTGGCGTGCTCGTGGAGCGTGTGCTGTCTCGGGTTCCTCTGGTGGATCCTGCAGCTGGCTCGGGAATCTGGTGAAGGCTGTGAGCCGTTGGATCGTGAAGCCAGATCCAACGGGCTTCCTGTTGCGGCGCCGAGACAAGATAGAGGCTAGGGTTTTTCCAACCCTAGCAGTGTGGGCTGCCAGTTCCGGGTTGTTGAGTTCGGGCTTGGTTCAACCCTGTTGTAATCTGTTTTTTTTCATTTGGGTCTGTAATCATAAAAACGTTTATTTAGTGCAATTTTATTAAACATATCATAGATATATATATATATAGTATATTTATTAAACACCCTACATAATTAAACATACATGGTAATAAACTAAAAACAACCTAAATGGATAAACACATGCAAAACATGGTAATGATACTAATTAGTAGTATATAAATAAACTGGAGTAAAAACTCGAACGAGAACCCTGGACAAAATGAGTGTCTACAGCTGCCCCTCTTTGCGCATTCTTGTGTTAACAAGAATAGGGTAAAGATAAAAGACAGCGCGTTTTTGTCCAATTTCATCCTCGACTGGGAACTTGGTAAGGGATCTGCTCCAATCTTCCTTCACGGTAAGTGAGATTTGAAAAATCTTTGGCCAACGGGTTCACTTCCTCTTTCTTCAGGGAGTAGAACTCAAACATTCTTGGGCTCGCTCTCTTTTTCTTCAGGGAGTAGAACTCGAACAATCATCTTCCTACGGGTCTATTATCTCTTCCTTCAAGGAGTAGAACTCGAACAATAATCTTCTTACGGGTCTACTCTCTCTTCCTTCAAGGAGTAGAACTCGAACAATAATCTTCCTACGGGTCTGCTCTCTTTTTCTTCAAGGAGTAAAACTCGAACAATCATCTTCCTACGGGTCTACTATCTCTTCCTTCAAGGAGTAGAATTCGAACAATAATCTTCCTACGGGTCTACTCTCTCTTCCTTCAAGGAGTAGAACTCGAACAATAATCTTCCTACGGGTCTGCTCTCTTTTTCTTCAGGGAGTAAGAACTCGAACAATAATCTTCCTACGGGTCCGCTCTCTATTTCTTCAGGGAGTAAGAACTCGAACAATAATCTTCCTACGGGTCCGCTCTCTATTTCTTCAGGGAGTAAGAACTCGAACAATAATCTTCCTACGGGTCCGCTCTCTTTTTCTTCAGGGAGTAAGAACTCGAACAATAATCTTCCTACGGGTCCGCTCTCTTTTTCTTCAGGGAGTAGAACTCGAACAATAATCTTCCTACGGGTCCACTCTTTTTTTCTTCAGGGAGTAGAACTCGAACAATAATCTTCCTACGGGTCCGCCCTATTTTCTTCAGGGAGTAGAACTCGAACAATCTTCCTACGGGCTCGCTCTCTATTTCTTCAGGGAGTAAGAACTCGAACAATAATCTTCCTACCGGTCCACCCTATTTCTTCAGGGAGTAGAACTCGAACAATAATCTTCCTACGGGTCCGCCCTATTTTCTTTAGGGAGTAGAACTCGAACAATCTTCTGTTGCTTCACTACCTCCTTGTGAAGGCTTATAGATGATTTACTTCACTACTATTTCGTGAAGGCTTGAGTTTGATTCGCTTCGAAGGTTGAACCTGAAAATCAAACATTATCAATCATTAATGTATGCTCGAAAATATCCAACTCAAAAATTCTGAGTTCGAGAAATTTTCTGAAAATTCATCTTCATCGTGAAAACTTGTCTGGAAGCCCTTAGATATGTGAATCTACTTTGGCTCAATTGTTGTCATCATTCTTTTTAGGATTTCAAAACTAGTCATCCTCATCTTGATGCTTCAATATATTCAATCCTCCACTATCATAGGGAAACCTGTAGACATTTAAGTCATCATGCAATGTCATGATCATATTCATGCCTAAAATGTATGCAATTATTCATTTCAACACATTTTCTTCTTCGAAGGAACATCGTCTCCTTTGATTTTGATGGACCTTGATTTCGTCTTGGGCACTGAACATTTGACCAGTTCACTCCAGTTAACAATCTCAAAATCATATGACTTCTCTCATTCTTGAAGCCTGCCATCACCCATGACCAACTTCTTGATGAATGACATTCTCTTTGGGCCACCTATCAATGGCTGGAATTTTCTATGAATCCCAAGGTTTCTGCTTCCCATAACCATACACACATACATGCTAAAACCAATGTTAGCTTCAGAATACCTGTCTTTTCAACATCTTTTGCATAACAATACAAAATGATCTCATGTACCACAAGCTAAGCTATATGTTTTAACTTTTTCAAAATCAAATGCTTGTAAAGGGGAATTGAAAAGGAAAAATATTACTTTATTTATAAATGCAAAGAATTTTTAGCAACTATATGGCAAACTTTTAACTGGAAAAAGAACAAAAGGATAGGCGTATTTCAAATATCAATAACACAAATGCCTTTGAACTGGCACGCCGTTAGAATAACCCGAGCGTAGCTTCTATCAAAAGGAACTCCAAAATTGTGATGACACCTAAGAGTGCAAAGCTACTTCTAAACCCCAAAATCTCCCATTATTGGATGTCGTAAACCAGTATTGAATCTCATGTGCATTCAATTTCTCCTTTGGTTGCTTTCATAGAGACTCATTAATCTTTAGTCTCAATCCTGATCACCAACCGTCGTTGTTACTACTCACGTCATAAGCTCTTTCTTCTTCCAAAAATAATTCAGAACCTCCACCGTGCACAAATTCTGAATTTAAAACTCAAGCCGCCCTCTACGGGTTTTCAACTTGACCTCCTTTGGTTTCAAGATGTCTTTTTCAAGTTTGCATCTTGAACCCCCCTTTTATTTGTTTTTGTTTTATTTTTTTATTTTCTTCATTTTCTTCGTTTTTTTTTCATTTTTTTTTCATTTTTCATTTTTTTTTCCTTTTTTTCATCTCCAAGCAAAATCCTTCTTAGATGCGTTCGGAGTTCACTGAATAAGGTAATTCGAACTCATCCATCTCAATCAAGACTAGGGCTCCCCAAAAAAGGTTTTCTTGACAACAGAGGGTATTTTCCACTTGGGCATCCAATTCCCTCGGAAATCTTTTGGAACGAGCAATATCCTCCTGAGCATCAGATCCCTTTCGTGGACTTCTCGAGGGCGAACTTTCTTACCATGTGCTCGTATCATCCGCTTCTGGTACATCTGACCATGGCAAATAGCTTTCAATCTCTTTTCTTCAATCAAATCCAATTGGTCATATCTGGCCTGTACCCACTCTGCCTCATTTAGCTTCACTTCTGACAAAACCCGAAGTGAGGGAGTTTCCACTTCAAATAGGGAGGACAGTTTCCATCCCATAAACTAGAGAAAAAAAACGGAGTTGCCCCAGTTGCTCTTCATATAGTGAGACCAAGATTGTCACAATCCCATGCCCCAAGGCGTTTGAAGCCATCAAAGTCCATCTTCTAGTATCTCCCGGTGGATGCAATTGTTTCTTCCACCAAGATAACCATTAAATCATCAGTCGGGAAATCAAAATTCAACGGTTCATATTCTTCGGAAGCCCTAATTGCAATGAATTCTACTACGACGCTCCCTCCAACCGCTTTCTGGCTTACATACTGGATATCAAATTCGGACAACAGGATTTTCCAACTGGCTAATCTTTCAGACAATGCAGGTACTCCCATTAGTGACAAGCGTCGTTCATATCTTCAGAGTGCACTTTAATTTGATTGTGGCTAGAGAAACCATCCATGAATGAGAACAAAGAATTTCACGCAGTATCATCCACTAAAGTGTCTATATGTGGCCAAGGAAAATTATCCTTTGGACTTGCTCTGTAGAGATCTCTGTAGTCGACACACATTCAAACTTTCTCATCCCTCTTTGGCACTAGGACAATATTCGGCACCCACTCAGGATATTTGGCCACTGTGAGAAAACCCGACATCAAATTATTTCTTCACTTCTTCTTTTATTTTGAGCAGCATCTCTGGTCTCATTCTTCTCAGCTTCCGTTGTACAGGCTTGCAATCAGGCTTCATCGTAGTTTATGGACCACCAATTTTGTGTCCAGACATGGCATATCCGTGTACGACTAAGCAAATACATCCTTGAATTCTAGAAGTAATTCTATCAAGCTCTGCCTTCATTCCGCACACAGGGTGGTACCAATCTTTACTTCTTTTATCCTCATCCGTACCCAAATTCCAGATCCCTATAAGCTCTTCGTGAGGAAAAATCTGTTTATCTTCTTGTTCCACCCTCTTCAGTAATTCCGAAGGTAGTTCACATCACTCATCGTCATCACAACCTTCGATTTCTCCTTGACACATGGGCATCTCGAAATCAATCTCCGGGTCAGAGTCATTAGCATTTGTATCATTGATATCTGAGTTCCTGGAAGAATAACGGAAGTGAAGATATATATACATATATATATGGAAGAATCTTTTCCCATACAAATAAATAGAAAGAAATAATACATACATTATACAACCAAAAATGAAATGCATGGGAGAGTGTTTGCCATTTTGGACCAATGAAATGCATCCTTTATTGAAAGCAAGTAAAAACACACAGCTTAACCCTTTACATCAGATCCCCTATTGCCCCAGGGTACGAACAATAGGGAAAAGTTCTAGTGCACTAATCTGCAAAAGATTTGTAAACTAAGGGCGATTCCTCCATAGTCCAGTTGTTCAACACAAAGCCTGGGGGTGCAGGATAGACACCTGTAGCTCTCATTCCTTCAAACTCCTCATTGGTTACAACATCAATGCCAAAGTCCTCCAAGGCATTCTCAATCATCACTTTACCTCTTCTTGAAGCCCTTTGAAACACATGCCCTGCTGATGTGAAAATGCTGCTCAATGGCGGGAAGGTCCTGGGTTCCCAACTTGGGTCTTCACCAGTCAATCTTGCATCTCCCAATTCCCGATTCCTCTTGATGCCCCTCTGTTTTTCCTTCAAAGTTGGTCGATACCCTAAACCAAACCTGTCTCTTTTAGCAATAGGGTAATTTGGCCCAACTGGTCCTTGCAACTGACGTCCTAGCCCTTGGCTACCTTTGGTCCCTCTTCCAAGGGTCAGTTTGTGCCCCGTTTTGGTGTAGTATGATGATCTAGGCTCTGAGATTTTCTTGCCTTCGGCCACAAACGTGGCATTGTCAAACGATCTGAAAGGACATTCAACAGCTTGTTCTTCTACTTCAACATATGGGGCTGCAGGAACTGAAGCAATAATGTCTTCTTCCGCATGAATGCATACCAGTCTTCCATCAAATACGAACTTTAGCCTCTGGTGTAAAGTTGATGAAACTGCCCCAGCCTGATGAATCCAATGTCTTCCCAATAAGCAGTTGTATGTAGGCTTGATGTCCATCACAAGAAACTCCACTTCAAAATGTTGCTGGACCAATAGTCAAAGGAATATCAATCTTGCCTAACACTTCGCTTTCTGTTCCATCAAAAGATCGAACCATACCTTGACAATTCCTCATCAAGGTACTGTCCACTGACAGCTTTTTTAGAGTCACCAAGGGGATTACATTTAACGCTGAACCATCGCTTATAAGTACTCTGGATAAAACGTGCCCTTTGTACCTAACTGTAATGTGTAGAGCCTTATGATTGTCAATCATCCCCGAAGGGATCTCATCATTTGAAAAAGATACAATGTTATCAGCCTGCATTTTGGCAACTAGTTGCTCCAGCTTTTCTGTGGGTAACTCCTTCGAGACGAGGGTCTGGTCCAAAACTTTTATCAAGACCTTGCGATGAGCCTCTGAACTCAAAACAAGTGATAGGATAGAAAATATTGGCAGGCAGCTTGTGCAATTGTTCCACAACACCGAACTCACTATGTTTCAAAAATTTTAAGAATTCCATTGTTTCATCCTTCGACCCCAGTTCATTGATAATGAGTTCGTCTTCTTTTATCTGAACATCAACATTCTTTCCTTTTTCAGCAGCAATCTTCTTCTCTGGCTCTTTGAAAAAAAACCTACCACTTCTGGTCAAGTGCCCTACTTCATTTATTTCTTCTTGTTGTTTTGCCCCCTCTCTCATTTGACAATCATACCTCCAGGGTACCTGTTTATTGTCTTCGTACAGGAACGGAGAGGGAGGTGTAATAATCACCTTTGGAGCTACCTTCTCAGCCACTCGATTCTTGGGAGTAATGACGATGGGATAACCAACACTGTGTATCCCTTTGGATGATCCTTTAGAAGCGCAAATCTCTGCTTTTTCTTTTTTAGTCACTTCTTTGAAGAATTCGATTTCTTTCTTGTCCATCATCCCTTGTACGAATTTTAAGAAATCAGGACACTGTTGTATATTGTGTCCTGTGCAATTATGGTAGTGGCACACCTCTTCACTGCTATACTGGTCACACGATAGACTAGGCTTCAACAATCCCACTTTAACCATTTGGCACCATACCCAAAGCATGGGTGATTCCACCTCACTAACATCCATAACAATTCTCTTTCCTTTCTCTTCAACAACTGTGTTAATCCCGGCTCCAGCATGGTTTGGCAATGGATTTTGGGCTACCTTTGGTTGTTCACTGTCACCAAAATTGATAACATTCCTCCTTCTCAAAGCTTGAACTACCTTTTTGAATGCAGTGCAATTTTCAATGGAATGTCCAGGATTCCCACCATGGTAATCACACTTAACATTAGCATCATACCATTTGGGATAAGGAGGTTGTATAGGTATCACATGATAAGGAGAGACTAGATGTCGATCGTATAAATCGTGAAATAATTCCTTATAGGATACAGGAATTGGATCAAATTGAAGCCTCCCTCTCCTTGGGTCCCTTGCCCCTTGTCTATTGTCATTTTGAGGTGGTGCCACCGTTCCCTGAGATCGGGACATTGTGATGTTACTGGAATCGTACTGGCTCACCTGGGTGACTTCGTTTTCCTTTTTCTTTATCGGCGGTTTGTTGCTGGACTCTCTTCCCTCGAGCTTCCCGCTTTTAATCGCCATTTCGATCATTTCTCCTGTCGTAACTATATCAGCGAAACTTCGGGAAGGAACACCGATAAGGTGTGAGAGAAAAGGAGCCTTCAAAGTACAAATGAAAAGCATATTTATTTCCCCCTCTTCCAATGGTGGATGCACTTGCACTGCTACCTCCCTCCATCTCTGAGCATATTGTCTGAAACTTTCACTGTGCTTCTTCTCCATTCCTTGCAACACCAATCTATTAGGCCTAACATCTTTCACGTGTTCATACTGGTCGAGAAAGGATTTAGCAAGGTCTTTCCATGACCTAATACCAGCCTTTTTTAGTTGGTTATACCATCGCAATGTTGAGCCTGTCAAGCTTTCTTGGAAACAATGGATCAACAGCTGATCGTCCCCTATGTACCCAGTCATTTTCCTGCAGAACATTGTAATATGGGTGGAAGGGCATCTAGTACCGTCGAATTTCTCGAAGTCGGGAGTTTTGAATTTTGGAGGTAGGACCAAATCAGGAACTAGACTAAATTCTTTAGCGTCCAGTCGATACATACTGGTGTCTTCCTTCATAACCTGGACTTCACTTGCTAATTGTTCGAATTGTTCCCGAAAGTGTTTGTTTTTATTCTTTTTGGCCACTCCATCAAGGCCCGGGACTTGGTGACAGAGACTTTCTTCGGGGTGCGAACTAGGTCCTGGTTGAAGATTCACAGCAACGCCGACAGGATCTATGTGCACTTTGGTAGGAACAGAGGTTCCTTGGACATTTTGAGACTGTACCGAGGTAAACTCTGGAGGATAAAGTGGTTCTCCAGTCATTTGCTCAGGGGCCTTTCCATGTTCCAGGTTTCTCCCTTCCAACAAACTTGCCAACTTAGACAACATATCTTCTTGAGCCTTAAGCATGTCCTCTTGCATTTTCCTTAGATCATCTTGCAACTGCAGTTGAATTTTTTCAATTTGAGTAATCCTATCTTCCATGGTTCTCTCCATTGTATTATAATGATGCTTGGACTTCCCCAGTATTTCTCTGTCACAGTTCCTTTGCGAGTTACTCTCATGTTTTCATGATTGATGCATGTAAAAAATGCTTAAATTAAAGCGATGCAAATGCAAATGTGGATGCAAAATGCAAATGCAAAAGGTGTTAATTCAAAAGTGACCACTTATAGAACAACCGTTCACTTAGACAACAAGAATTCAGTAAGTACACCATGTAGTCGAAATACAACTGTGAGTCTTCATCTCTTCATTTCCTTGAGTCGTACTCTTCATGGGATCTGGTATTGCACCTTCAAAATCGTCAGCGTATTTCATCACATTTGATGACGTCGGATGTCTTGAATCTTAAAATCTTCATTCTTATCTTCCATGCGATGTGGACTTCTCGTCTTTACGAAGGTCTTCTCGTCTTTATGAAGGGTCTTCTCGTCTTGATGAATGGAACTCTCGTCTTTATGAATGCTCTTCTCATCCTTGGTACGATTGTATCTATCCTTTGACTCAACATCTTGGCCTTTACAGTTTCTTCAATCAGGTTCAGATCTCTTCATTCATCGGCTGTCCTTCATGGATCGTTTGAACATATTTGGATCTCTTGGTTTTGACTACATAGTGGAGAATTTCTTGCCTCAATATGGTCAGCCTTCTTGTTAGTCAATCACTAGTGAATTAACACCCCTCGATGACATGAGGATGCAAATGCAATAAAATTACAATAAAATAGACATAGAACAAACATAGGTTAGTACACATAAGATAAACAACAAAATAGTAGGTAAAGTAAACATCAAATAAAACCTACCCTCATACGCTGGCTACCCAATCATGTTTTAGTAGATCCTACCCGACATGATATCTACCTACATGCTTTGTTGTTCACAAAAAATCCTAACCGCATGGTATCTAATTCACATGCTTGCTCAAAAAAAATAAACCTACCCACATGATCTCTAGTTCGCATACTTTTTGCAAAAATAAATTCGAGGAAAAGATTAGAATGAGTTTCCCCCTCTGCGACTTTTGAAGAAAAATGGGCAGAGGTTCGATATAAAACAGGCAGAATTCTAACAGGGCCCTCGAATTGTCCTTTGCTGGTGCCCCCTTGGGCTTGCCAGACCCTCGATCCTCACCCATTATGGGCTTAAAACGAATCAAGTTCAATTCGAGAGGATACATATCCCTATATCCATGCGAGGAACTCAGTGTTTTCTCGTAGACATAAGGCATGTACCCCAGAGGTTACTAGCTAAAGCCCGTGCGGAGAAAAATTTTTCTCACGTAAGCGTAGCTTTCACCCCTACTTAATGGACAGAGCACAGTTAGAATGCTCTGAATATCAAAATGGTTGTTGCGACAGTAAAGGAGAAACCCATAATCCTTTGCCTCGATCCAAGAGAAACAATAGACTAAAGTGAAAGTCAGAGAACTGAAAACATGTAGATCACACATTAGTACAACTATTTACTCATTAACCCAAATTACAAATTAAGATGCACACAAAACAATTCAAACAACTAAGGGATCAAAAACCAAATCAAAGCGAACTTATAACTTTCGTTTGCAAAGACAATTAATTAATCGACTATAGGCCTGACTCTCTAAAAAGTCCCCAGCGGAGTCGCCAAGCTGTCGAAACGTTTTTTTACCTGTGCAGGGGGCGAGATTTTAGAAACCACGTCATTTTTAATTATTTTCTTTTCAATTGAATTTTTAATTAAAAATAATGCGACTTTAGAAAACCTCTCATTTCAAAAAATTGGAAATTCCTTTACAATAAAAAAAAACAATTACGGTTCGAGGAGTCGCCACCAATCTTTGATTAGGGTGTGATTGGACACCAAAACGTTGTCATTTTAATAAAATTAATTTTAATTAAAATAACGATTTGAGGTCTGCGTTATCAAAATCTGAGTCCGAGAGTCGGTTACGTGTGGGGAAGGATTAGCACCCCCACAACGCCCTAAATCGGTACCTAGTCGATTAATTAATGTCTTTGCAACGAATTTTACAAGTTCAAATTTAATTTAATTTTTGATCCCTTAAAACAACAAAAGTGCAAATTTTATGGTATGCGGAAGCAACGAAATAAGTTAAATTAAAATTACCAAGTCATTAGAAAGATAAAGAATGTTCGATTATTTAAAAATATCGAGACCAGATCTTTAGGTCAGTTTTAACGACCTTTTCTCAATAAATTTAAATAGCCGAATATTTCTTTTTCTTTCGCTCCCAAATTTTAAGTGAAGAATCCAAATTTAATTAGGCGTTACTGATGGGATACAATTTTAATTTAAAATTGCCAAAACAACTCTCTAGTAAGTTAGGAGAAGCCATTCCGACAATTTTAGATTAAAAGAATATTACCCTTAATCTGATTATGTGATTAGGTCGAGTCATGCACGTGAGGTTATCATGCAAATCATACAAAGCGATGTTAATGCAAAAATTAATTAAACATGCGATTAAAGTAAATGAGGCCAACATGCTTTATAAAGAAATACACCTAAATACGTTCATACAGATTACATGCTCAAAATAATATCCACTTGCATACACTTAAAATAATTCTAAATTAACCTAACAAACATACATGAAATATTAAAGGGACTAAATATAAAAATAATATAGCAGACTATTTTCATAAATATTCATTTCTTGGTACTCCAGACACATACAACCAGAGTGCTACATAGGACCAATTGAAAGCTTTCAAAATTACACATCCAATGTAAAAACAAACGAATAGCCCTAACATGTAACTGGACTAAAATGAAATACGCTGAAAGTCAGGGGACGAAATTAAAATGACAATAAAATTCAGCTTAAGGACCAATCGAAAAGAAACAAAGTTGGGATGGCCACACACACAATTAATCCCTAAAAATCTCAAAACACGGATTCCCTCAGCTATCATAACGCTGCCGTTTTGGGGGGTATCTAAACGACGCCGTTTTGGCGTTTTAATATACGGGATATTAGGGTAAATTCTTTACCCTAATTTCATTTCTCTTCAGCTAGACAAGAAGAGCCCCCGCCGTTCTCCTTCCTCTCCCCCTCTCTCTCGCCCTCTCTCGACCTTAGCTTAAGCGAAACCCCGACCCCTCGCCGTAGCAACGGCCCCGACAAGAAGCCCCCGTGAATACCTAAACAGATAACCACCTAAAACCCGTCCCCAGCCTGAAACATAACCCCAAACTACTTCGAAACCCCTATTCTGTTCCACTTCGCTCGTATCCAACACCAGATCCCTCAAATCCCTAAAGCCACAGGCCTGAAACTGACATGCAAGACTCGAAATCAACTGGAGACAGAGGGTTTTACCTTCTCACGACGAGGTATAGATTCCTAGCCAAGGCGACAAAGCTACTGGATCGAGAGGGTAAGTTTCTTTACTTTCGTTTTGCTCTCTGGCTGTTTAGATGACTCTCTGGGTATTTCACGTTTCGTTTTTGGTTCCCTTGATCACTGATGGATGATTGGAATACTTTGCTATTGAGGGATCATTTTTTGGTTCTCGATTTGCTAATGGGTTTTAGACTCTAGTGGTGGATTTTCCCTTGATGGTTGCTGATATATCCCCAGTTGTTACTGATCGCCACTGGTTTGCTGTTTGAGAACCCAGAACCCCCCATGTTTGGTTACTGCTCTCGGTTTTTAAATGGTTGATCCCCCTCTCTGACTCTGGTTTTTTTTTTTTTGCTCTCGTGCCTCCCCTATTGCTGAACCGAGCCCCCCGTTGTCATCCCCCTCTCCTTTTATTTCGTTTTTTTTGTTCCTTCTCCTTCATCCCCCTCCCCTCTTCTGTCCTTTTTTCTGGTGATATATGGTTGCCGTTTTCCCTCTGTCTCGTGTTTTGTCTCTTGTCATGTGTGTATGCAGGTCACGGGAACGAGCAAGTCACAGGCGGCAGCAGTGGGGAGCCGAGCCTTGGTGTTCCTCGTTGTGGTGCTGGCAGCAGCTTCACGTGGGAGCTGTTGGGTTGTGGTGCTCGATCAGAGTGTTGTCTCAGTGCTCGGGAGTGGCGTGCTCGTGGAGCGTGTGCTGTCTCGGGTTCCTCTGGTGGATCCTGCAGCTGGCTCGGGAATCTGGTGAAGGCTGTGAGCCGTTGGATCGTGAAGCCAGATCCAACGGGCTTCCTGTTGCGGCGCCGAGACAAGATAGAGGCTAGGGTTTTTCCAACCCTAGCAGTGTGGGCTGCCAGTTCCGGGTTGTTGAGTTCGGGCTTGGTTCAACCCTGTTGTAATCTGTTTTTTTTCATTTGGGTCTGTAATCATAAAAACGTTTATTTAGTGCAATTTTATTAAAACATATCATAGATATATATATATATGTATATTTATTAAACACCCTACATAATTAAACATACATGGTAATAAACTAAAAACAACCTAAATGGATAAACACATGCAAAACATGGTAATGATACTAATTAGTAGTATATAAATAAACTGGAGTAAAAACTCGAACGAGAACCCTGGACAAAATGAGTGTCTACAGACAGTATCTAGAAAGTCAGACGGTTTGGGTCGTGTTCTATAACCTTTAGGGGCAGTATAACACTTAAGTTTATCTGTGTTTCCCGAGTCCATCCAAAAGCATCCACGTAATCCAAGTCATAAGGGTAATTAGGTCATTTCAATGCTCAAGTATAACCCAATCATTGAAAATACTTAGTGACGTGACGTACTTCCAGTAATCTAGTCCATTCAACAACCAAGAGATTAACATATTATGATTTTCAAAGGTAGAAATTGATTTTCAGTGTTTTTCATGCATATCAGGAATTTAGTCAATGATTCATAGGTTCAAACGGATTTTTTTTGAAGAGAAAATATTAAATTCATCTAATAGCATCAAGGATTACATCATTCTTAATACATTCA